TCTTCTGGAAGAGAGACATCTGCTGCTGGGTTAATGTGATGGGTTTGTCTAATTTGCATATTAGCAGGTAAACATTCCACAATCACTCCCAATCAACTGCTAAGGAGTGTCATGTGGCTTCATGCTGTAATGGATCCATTCTAAAAGGTTGAGATCAGTGTTTCTTTTGGTCTTACTTTCATCTGTAAATACTGAAAGAGAATCTCAAAGATCCTGTGGCCTTTTAGTCCCATGTTGTTGTTAAGTGCTGTTGAGTCGTAGATGACTCACAGCGACCCTATGAATGAAAAACCTGAACATTTGCATAAATGTCATCATTTCTCCAAGTTCATAGAGTTTCCAGAGGCAAGCTGTTTTGGAAGTGGATGCCATTCCTTGTTCCAGGCTTGTTTTAATTGGGGAGCTCCACCAAACACTGTCTACCATGGGTAACCATTATGGCATTTGACACATCAGTCACAGTGTTTAGCTCACAGCAACCACCGAATCCAGATATTTAAGACACCTTTTTAATAGTTCTATACTCACTAGACTCCCGTGTTTCTTCCAATGAATAGGCACCACAATAAGTTCTTGGTCAAAGAGATTTACCCATTTGGTCCAGCTTTTCACAGCTTTATAACCCCAGAACCCAAGTTAGAGTAGAAGAAAGTACTAATTCATGGAGTGCTGGACAGGCTTGCTTTTTCTTTCTTTCCATCAGAAGATTCTTGTAAAAATTAATGACTTTATCAATAAGCCAGTGATATTCCTTAAGGTCTGGATATCACCATGAGCCATTAACAATTTGAAAGTACTGCTGAGGATCTCTTCCCGTGAGCTGTGGCCAAGGGCATAGCTGATTTCTTTTTCCATGTCCTCTGTAAGTTCAAGGAATTCATCTGTTTCTCTCTCTCTCTCTCTCTCTCTCTGTAATTCCTTTCTCACATCTCAAGGACTGATAATTTCCTCCTGAATAAGCCATTGCTTCCACTGTCCAGGCAGAGCCCGGCTGACACTTCTTCAAACAGTCCTCTCCTACCTTCATTTTCAACTCTGATTCCAACTGTCTTCTCAGTATCAGAAAATTTCTTTTTTTTCCTTCTCATTGAAGATAGAGGGCCCCTCATTTCAACAATTCTATACTGTTTTGGAACAAACAGAGTTGTTTTGATTCCATGATGCTGTTCATCCCCACCCCCCCGCCCCCCAGTCTCTCAGTTTTAGCACACCCATCTGACTTTTTTGAGAACTATGATGGTTTGAAGAAGTTGTAGGAGGAACAGAGTTTTCATGACCTCCTCCTTTTAGTCGCTCCAATAATCTTTGGTGAGGCCCAATCATTCTCGAGTCGCTTCTGGCCCGCTGCAGGCCGCTCCAGCTTGTGCTTTGCTCTAGCACCTCCATGGGCTCAGCCAATGGCCTGCAAGAGTGCCCACCCAAGTGCCCGGGAGCTGGCGGGCAGTGGCCCTCACCAGACACACACCCCTGGGGGGGGAGGGAAGCCAGGGGACACAAGTGGCTCTAAAGCCAGCACACACCACTGAAACAAGTTGGAAGGATTCAATATGAAGCACAGAAGCAGATGGGTTCACATAGCAAGCAGGAGTCGAAACACAGTTGTTGTGTGGGGCAGCATTTCCTGCTCCCACTGCTTCTGAGATGGAGGAAATCAGTTGAATTCAATATGAAATGAAATGGAATATTCTGAACATATTGTCAGCGAATGAAAGTCCTAGAAAAATTAAAAGTGGCACCACCACATGCCAACCTGGAACAAGGATTTCAGGAAGGAGCTCAGAAAGCCAGTGTGATCATGCAGATTCCAGAGAGATTGTTGTTGCAGAAAACAATGGAGACATTTCATTTCCAAGACCAGCAGACCTAGACCTTAAACAGTCAACTCCCTTTAAGCCTCTGACACTGAAAACACCATCCTGTATTCTTAAACTGAGTGAAAGACTGCTAGATTTTCTGGATTTTAGAAAGAGCTGCTCCAACACCCTCAAATTGAAGAGGTATATGGCATTTCAAATAGAGATAGAACAATTGAAGCCTCTGCAGATGATTTGACTGTTGTAGATGCAGCTTTGTTAAGATGACAGATGATCAAGCTAAATAGACGTCTACAGCTTCTGGAAGAAGAGAACAAAGAACGTGCCAGAGAAATGGTCACGTATTCAATTACTGTAGCGTCTGGATGCTTAATAGCTGGCTCTGGTTTTACCACTAGAGGTAACCTAAGCTCTCAAAAATATTTGTCTGAACGGCTAGAAATATAAAGAATTTGCAAACTTAAGAAAAAAATAATAATCATCTTTAGTATTTCTCTTTTTCCTCTTTGTGAATGCCCTCTTCCACAGTACAATGGGAACACCTCAACATGTGGACGCTCTCACCATGGACGCCCTTGCTGCCATGTTCAAGGGTCATCTCTGTCATTGACTGTTCCTGATGTTTCCACGTTAAGGGACTCTCTGGATTGTCTCTGTTGTGACAGTGGCCCCTGGGTCTTCTGTTAGAGAATTTGAAGTTCAAAGTAAAACCAAAAGAAGGCAAGACTCCGGTGGCTGTTCTTGGGTTACTGTCACTCTGATGTTTGGATAGTCACTAACTCCATTAGGAGACTTACTTATTACCATTTCACCCAGTTTGAGCATTTTGTTCCAGGATCCAGAATGTGTCAGTTCACAGGGTGAAGAGCTTGAAAATACCTCTTCTGAAGAGGCCACATTCTGTGTGCCATTATAAGCAGAAGTTACCCTGAACTTTGTAGTCAGCTGGCATGAGAATCCAAACAAGCTGGCAGCATTGTAGAGACTGTTTTTCACTTGGTGAATAAAGCAATCTAATCTTGGTCTTTTGGCTGGTATTCCATCAGTGTCCACTGTGGAAAACAGATTGCTGTTCGAGCATCGCCTCTTTTTGACAGCCCAGGCAAGAGGCACCAGCTGGTCACAAAACGGAAAATGGCACAGAGAATTCTAACCAGCTGTTTGTACATATGAGGTCTGAGAAGTGGCGGCGGCTGAAAAACCCTGAGATGCAAACCTCAGGGCTGTCGCTGCCACGTTTGCTGCCTCGGCCACCACCACCCTCATTATTTTTCTTATAGAACTTTGGAGCTGACAAAAGACTTCTACACAACTTCATTTGATTTCACCACAATCAGAGTGAAGTGAGAAGTGTTCTGAAGCCTTCAAGTTGGGATGTGAAACATGGAGAGGAATGTATCTTTTCCCCAATGAGCAAGCTGAGGAGTGACTTACCCAAGGTCCCCCACAGATGAGTGCTGATGCCCTAACCAGAGCCCTGCAGAGTCACTCCTGCCTGGCTGCTGGGCGAGAGCAGCAGAGTTTTCAAAGGAGTATCATTGGATCCTTGATGTTGGCTGCTGGGCAATCAACTTGGAAGATAAAAGATACCTTTCTGTGGTTTCCAAGCCAGAAAGCAAAGCTTCATACTGAGATGTAAGAGAAGTAGGCCAAGAGGAGAAATGAAGCCGAAGCCCAGGGCTGGGGAGACGATGAAGTTTTGTGGGCCCCTCTTGTTCAGGGAGGAGGGGGCGTGCAAGGTCACCGAGAGCTGTCTGGTGTAAATCACAAAGTGGAGTGAGAACTACTTTTCTGACTCTTTCCCACAGTGGCCATTGCCTGGAGCCAGGAGGGAGGTTCATCTGAGAATCGCCCTCCTCCCTAACAGCTTTCCCAAGCTCCTAAATCTCTTCTTCATCTCCTTCCCAACAGCTCCAGGGGAGGAGGTGCTGAGAGGAGGCTGCATAGTGGAGCCAAGCAAGCATCCTCTGCCGCTGGGCACCAGCCCTCAGGCATTTAAGTACAGGCCATATTGCTGGTGCCAAGCCCTACCTGCCGTACACAGCAGCACCGTGCATTAAATGCTGTTGTATGCCCCGCCAGGTCTTGAATTTCCTGGGAAGGTATCTGATTACACAGAAAGTCTGTTGGGAAGTATTCTTAGGTTGGACTAACACCAGTGCAAGGGAAGGAACTAGGATAAGGCAGACAGAAAGACTTAGGAAAGAATTCTCTGAGGTCTCACGGAAGACTAAACTGGCCATTAAAGAGGCTAAAAGCCTGGGATGTCCCTTCAAGGTTGTCCCAAGTTGGGACAAAATAGCCAGACTTTCAGGCCCCTACATTAATCAGTCATTGTTTGCAGGCTGAGGGAATAAATCCTAAAAGGGCAGCAAAGCACCTTATCTACAGCACTGAGCTAAATGCTTTCTAAGCATTAGCTAATTGAATTTTTCTAACACCCCTATAAAATCCAGAAATTACTATATTCTCATAAATAAGGAAAATTGAGAAATTAAGTTATTTGCTAGTGAATAGTGGAACCAAGATTTAAAGCTAAAGAGTTTGCATTATTTATGTGTGGCGAGAGAAATGGAAAAGAGGAGGAGGGGAAGATAAAAGGAAAGAGGGATGGGAGAAAATTCCAGGAGGAGGAAGGGGAGAGATTCCACGTGTACAATGTCCAGGGCAGCCAGAACCAGAGTAAACCAGGAATCGTGATTCTCGGGTCAGCCCTGGGCCAGTGCCATCGGATCCACCTACACCAAGGAATGTGAATACTAAATGAGAGAGAGGCAGGCAGAGAACAAGGTGGTACATTGCCTCCCCAAAAGCCTGTTAGACATACAGAGTATAAAAGAATTTTTAAAAATCCATACAAACATGGGAAATGTGAACCTGTAGTTCACTCCAGATTTTTGCTGGGTTTTTTAACTCTAGTGCCTCTCAGAGTGCTGGGAAGGTGTCTTTCGTCATGTCACCTCTCTTCAGTGGAGTTTTCTACAAGCCTACTAGAAATAGCAGAGGGGTGAGGAAAGGGCTGGCCCAGTGCAATTGAAGGAGTCCTTTGACCTTACTCCAGACAAGATGCTTCATCCCCCTGTAAGTCAGTGGGCATCCATGAGTCAAGCCCAATGCACTAATGTTAAAGTGTGAATTTTGTCCCATAAGGTGCTGTCTCCAACTAATGGTGCCCCTGCTTTTCAGGCCGTGGTAGTGACTGATGGGGAACGCATACTTGGTTTAGGAGACCTGGGCTGCTATGGCATGGGCATCCCTGTGGGAAAGCTGGCCCTTTACACCGCTTGCGGAGGCGTGAACCCACAGCAGTGTCTCCCTGTGCTGCTGGACGTCGGCACCAACAACGAGGTAATGTGTGTGCTCTGGGACCAGAAAGAGGCAGCTGGGATGAGGAAGGGGCACTTATCTAAGCAGCTGTAGTCCCTGGACGATGCAAATGGTTAACTCACTTCTGATTAAAAGGTTGGAGGTTCAAATCTAGGCACCTCAAAATAAAGGGCTGGAAATTACCTTTCAGAACCCTAGCCATTGGGAACCCTGTGGAACACAGTCCTCTGCTCCATGTGAGGTCACCATGAGTTGAATGCAATCCCACAGCAAATGGCTGAAGAAGGTTTTATCAGAGGTGGCCAGGCCAGGATCCTGCTATGCACCTCTTCTCTCTCTCCACATACCATGCATTCTTGATTTTTAGAACTTTTATCACTAAAGGAACTTTAAAACATTCAAAATTTCAAAAAGGAAAAGGAAGTTAGGTTTTTCTGTCCGTGCTACCTTTATGTTCCCTTTGAATGTTCATCTGTGCATATACATACATGTGCTTATTAGCTAGTTATAACATACCCATAATTTTGTTCTAATTTTTTTCAACTAAAATATTTCTGTGAACACTTTCTCCTCATTTTTTAAATGAAGTTTATTGAGTATTTACTAGGTGCTAGATACTCTGCTTGGCATGAAGGAGATAAATTAGAGCCAGGCCAGAGTCGAATTGTTGTCAGTGCTTCAGCGCCGTCACCTAATTTATTATTCTTAATAGCCAATGTGTTACATCTATTCCAAATGTCTGTTTTCCCCCCTGGGGTTATAGGTCTCTGGGTCTCTGGAATTCCCTCTCTCCTAGGCTTGCTTCCTCCCAGTGGGACAGCTCCTCCACAGGGCAGGACTGGGATGTATTTATCAGTCCCTGATCCAGCCTGGCCACACTACAGAGGTGAGAGAAAGCCACATCCCCTAGGCCACTAAGAGCAGTGCCAGCACTGTGTCAGGCATAGTGACAAACCATTATCTATTTTATTTCATTCTCCCTACAGCTGTGTGAGATTGTATCCACCCCATTTGACAAATGAGGAAATGAAGCTGAACCTTATTAAACTCTTTACCTCAGGAATTAAGTGTCAGAGCTGGGATCTGAACTCAAGTCTCTCTGACTCCAAAGCTTCTCTGGTTCAGAATAATACACTGCCCTAAGGGGACAGCATTGTACATCAGAGATAGTGTAGTCAAAGCCAAGAAAATAAGTGTTTCACACCAAGGGCCATGGACACTTAATTGAAAGTCAGAGTGTATTGATGCTTTGTGGTGTGAATGGTTAATACCAGCCTACTGTATAGAACATTCAAGTCCACACACACAGGCCTCAGAAGAAAAGCCTGGTGATGTACTTCCAAAAATCCTATAGAACTAAATTCTTCTCTGACACACTTGAGGTCACCATGAGTCAGAAGGAATTCATCAGAAGCTGCCTTTGGGTTTGTAGCAGTGCTGTTCACACTATCTCCCCACTTCCAAGACAGCTGAGCCTCCATTAGGGGCACTTCAAGAAACTTACATAAGGATACATAAACCTAAAGTTACAAACTGGCCAACATTAGGAAAATGGTGATTCATCTCTTTCCAGATGGATTCACTATATGATCACATACTATTAGTAAAAGGAAAACAACCCAAATTCTCACGCCCGAAGTCTTGAGACACATCTATTGTTCATTGCACGCTAAAGCTAGAGAAGAGAGAGACTCAGTCTTTGCAACTTTCTGCTCACATGTCAGTGCAGGGGGCGTGCTGTTGTGAAGGTTTTTTGAGTCAGAATAACATGACCATCTGTGTGTATGTCTCTATAAAAACTCCTGAGGTAACAGGAGCTTTAATCAGAGTCAAAGAAAACAGCCCTCCGGGTTTCCTGTTGAAGGAAAACATCTGTTTCTCGACAGTCTTCAAACTCTGAGTCACTTTTACCTGCCAACACCAAGCAGGTTTGGAAACATAAACATGTGGTACAGTGATCTCGTGAAGATGAGACATCCATGATTGAGTGCCTGTGCCAGAGGGGCTGGGGAAGTTACGGAGAGTAGGCACACTCTTGGTCCTCCATCAGGGCAATCATGTGGGATGGTATGTACATTTTATTTTATCCACAGGCAGCCAGACAAAATCATCGACTATCAAACCTGGTAGTGATTGTGTGATGTCTAGTTAATTCTGAATCCTCCATGATGGAGGAAAATTTCCTCACAGGTTTCCTAGGCTGCAGTCTTATGAGAGCAGTTTGCCAGCCCTTTTTCCCACAGAAGGGCTAGTGAGCGCAGATTGTACAGCCAGACATTTAACCACTGAATCACCAAGGATCCTCCGTATGTGATAGATGGGATATAATATGCTATTGAATTCAACACCTCCACTTACACAAGAAAGAAGGCCTGACAGGGAGATTGGCTTCCTCTAGGACTGGCTCTGGACCCAATTTTCTAATAGTGCCACAGGCCATCTCAAAAACCTGGCCCTGACATTGCTCTCCTGAGCTTTCGAGGTTTTCTCCTGAGAGAAACATTGAGCCTTATGAGTTCCCATCAACATGAGCTGCTGTGTGAGAGATTTTTGTAGAGGTGAATAAAGGTCCACACCATGAGATAAGATAACAACATAACAGATGGAGTAAGGATTGAAGCTCTGAATTATTTCATCTTGCTTATATCAACAATTGGCGCCCTTGGCACCAAGAGTCAGGAGACCATGAGATGTATTGCAATGGGTAAATAAGCTGTCAGGGACCTCTCTAGAACTCTTAAGAGAATAATGTCCTTTTGATTACTAAGGAAGGTGCACGTGATCCAGGCCATGGTCTTTTCAATTACTTGCTATGCATCAGAGAGCTGGACATTAAATGAGGATGACAGAAGAAGAATCGATGCCGTGGAGTTGTGGTGTTGGAGAAGCGCACTGAATATCCTATGAAGTGCCAAAAGAAGACGTTCAGCCAGGGTGCTCCTTGGAGGCAAGGATAGCAAAGCCTTGTCCCAAGGATAGCAAAGCCTTGTCCCTCATACTTTGGACATGTTGCTAGGAGAGGCTGTTGCTTGGAAAGGGACATCATACTTGGAAAGGTAAAGGTCAGCAGAAAAGAGAGGAAGACCCCCCCAACAAAATTAATTGACAGTGAACACGACAGTGGGCTCAAGTGTGTCAGGGATGATCAGGATGGCATGGGATAGGACAGGGTTCAAGTCTATTGAACTCACAGGATCACTGTGAGTCCTGCTTGACCCAATAGCACCTAACCTAATAACAACAGAAACAAATCAAGGAGAAGCATGCCCTGTCTACTTGGAGAGACAAACACTGGAACAGATTATCAATAGAACCTGGCAAACATTACCCTGGAGGATGTAACGCATTGCTGAGGAAACCTGAGTGTGGACACTGTGATAGAGCTGGGTATTAAAGGTTTACTTTCATCTTGTAAGACCATCATTACTTCAAATAATAAATATTTGGAGTTTTCTAAAGGTTGTCTTCTGAGACATTTATTCTCTATACACATGGATCTGACTTACCCTTGAATTTGACTGAGCTTCCAGGAAAAAATATTAGTGACGTATATATTACATGTCACCCCATCTGGGGGAAGTTTCTCTATGTCCATAGTGTAAATCCAAGCCCATGATGTCCCAGACCCCCTGATGTCTTCTGAATAAGATCTTAGTGTGCTTGTTGCTATACAAGATAAATATTTTTCCAGGCCAGAAAGTCCATCTGTCTTTCCACTTAAATCCTGTGTGCAGTGATATGACAACGGAGGAGGAGGGAACGATTTTGTTTTCCATGACATTTTGTCTCCAAGGAAAACCTTAGGAAGGCAAAGCTGGGAAAATAGCCAGGGAGGGTATATTCAACCTTCACTCCCACAGAAGAGGAAAAAAAAGTCTGGTTCACTTGCTTTGGATAAATGACTTCATCTTCTTGTTGTTGTGTGCCATGAGTTGCTTGTGACTCATTGCGACCCTATGCAAAATAGTTCAGAACCCTGCCCTATCCTGAGCCAATCTCACTGTCTCTGGCACACCTGCTCCCATTACCACATCATTGTGTCAATCCATCTCATGTGGAGTCTTCCTATCCTTCACTGTCCCTCTATCTATCCAAGCATTATGTCCTTTTCCAATCACCAGTCCCTTCAGGCAACATGACCAAAGTATATGTGAGATGGAACTTCAAAATCTTTGCTTCCAAGGAGAAACTTGCTTTCACTCTCTCCAGGATAGACCTGTTTGTTCTCTTGGCAGTGCATGGTATGTTCGATACTCTTCTCCAGCACCACAACTCAAAGGCATCAATTATTTTTCTATCATCTTTAGTCATTGTCCAGCTCTCTGTGAAGACCATGGCCTGTATCATGTGCACCTTAGTATCTATATTGACACCCTTGCTCTTCAGCACTCTGGGGAGGTCCCTGACAGCAGATTTTCCCAATGTAATTTGTCTTTTGATTTTCTGACTGCTAGTGCCAAGAGTATTGACTGTGGAACCAAGCAAGCTGTAATTGTTAACAACCTCAATTTCTTCTCCATCTATCAAGATGTTGCCAGTTGGCCCAGTGGTGAGAATCTTTGTTTTCTTTATGTTGAGCTTCAATTCATATTGGAGACTGCAGTCCTTGACTTTCTTCAGCAAGTGCTTCAGATCCTCCTCAGTCTTGGAAAGCAAAGTTTTGTTATCTGCATAATGCAGGTTGTTGATGAATCTCCCTCCAATCCTAATGACACATTCTTCCTCATAAAGCCCAGCCTCCCAAATGATCTGTTCTGCATATAGATTGAAAAGATATGGAGACAGGAAACATCCCTGACACATTCCTTTCCTGATTTTGAGCCATGCACTGTTACTTTAGGAAAGCAGAGCTCTGTTGTGACGACTGCCTCCTAGTCTAAGTTTCACATGAGCACAATCAGGTGTTCTGGGATCCCCATTCTTTTCAAAGTTAGCTACAATCTGTTATTATCCACACAGTAAAATGCCTTTGCATAGTCAATACAACACAGATAAACATTACTCTGGTACCCTCTGCTTTC